AGCGCAGCCCTGTTGTGTCCTCCCGCCGGCCTGGCCGCTGGAGCAGCCGGTGTGCGGGGCGGTTGGCGGGCAGGGCACCGGGAGAGGCCTCTGCAGCCGTTCCGTGCAGTACACGCGGGCATTTGGAAGGTGGTGGGTTACACGGCACGTGGTGTTCCTGCCTCCTTCGCCTCCCGTTTCTTCTGACATGCCCTCAGTAAGGTATTGCTGCCTTCCGAAAGCACAGCGGAGGAAGAGCAGCCTTTTCCCTGATCCCTGCTTCCCCTATAGCATCCCTCCAGTGCTCTGTTACACCAGGAAGGTTGGACAAGTTTATCTGACCTCATACATTTAGGACAGCGCATTCGAATGACTGGATGAAAGGCTGTTACCTGCAGCATTGCTCCGACCAGTCGCTCCAAAACCTTGAGCCGAGGGAGTATTAAGAGTGTGATTCTTCAGCCTGACCTTGTGACTGAAGGGTGGATCTCTTGGGATGCTGTGCTCTGTTTAAGAAAGGGTGATGTTAAGTTGAAGATACGAACCTAAATCTCTAAACCCACAGATTCTTTATGCTACTCTGATACAGATTGTTTGTACACGTTTGAGAGTCACTGTAGCCGAGGTGCTAGAGATGCTCGAGTATCTTTGATTTTACTTATTGTAGCAGATCACCAATATTCCAGAAGATTCTGATTTAAAACAGAGGAGAGTAGCTGCCTGGTTTGTGCAGGTTGAAGTAATTCTTTGTAGGTTTGTAAAACAGGGGTTGTTGCAGCTGAAACAACTTGAAAATCAATTGCTCAACACCTGATTGCAATATCTGTGCCTTACCAGGGGGCTGTGAGAGACACTTGTGCTGCTGCTGGAGCACAGTTTATGAATGTGCTGCTGTTAGCAGTGAGAGTTTGCATGCATGGATAAAATAATAAAAATCATAAAAATAATAGAAAAATAAATAGAAAATGATGTGCAGCTTAAAATGTCTAAGATACAGATCCACTGTGTAAGGAAAGCTGCTGGAAGGTTGAACCCCAGTGTCTGCTGTTTGATTGTTGGCACAATGATGTCCCTTTATAATTGTCACACGTCAGGCTCCCCAGGGCAGTGGTCACAGCACCAAACCTGTCAGAGGTCAAGGAATGTCTGGGCAGTGCTCTTAGTCATAGGGCTTAGTTTCAGGTACTCCTGTGAGGAGCAGAGTTGGAGTCTGTAATCTTTATGGGTCTCTACCAACTTGAGGTATTCTGCAATTCCATGGTTTTGTGTGACAAATTCCATGTTAACAGTTATGGAGCTGTGTGGGGTTTGGGTTCCTTGGGACTAGAGAGTGAGAGACACTGAAGCTGTTGGTAACGGACAGCACATGAGTGCCCTGTTGTGTCATGTCAATGAGGGTGCAGATCCAAGCCTGAACAAGCAGTGTTCTGTGGTGGTGGTGTTAGAATCAACCCATAGAACTGAAAAGTTCTTGTTTTGGGGTAGGATATAGGGGTTAGCAGAGGGTGTGTTCTGGTATGAGAACACGTGTGTGGCTTTAGAAGAAAAAAGCGATTGCCTAAATTTTGTGTCTTAGGAATCATGAATTGTCCAGTCCTGGGCAAATGCATCAAAAAGGGAGACAGCAAAGAACTGTGAGCTGGGCAGATTTTAACTTTTTAGTCTTAGCAGCACCAGGGAAGGGGATGGCTCCAGGAGCTGACTGTACTAATAACACAGGAACCAGAGGATGAACATTCTCTTTTGTGGTTACTTCCAGGTTCTGGGAAGGATGACCACTCTCACACGGCAGGACCTTAACTTTGGGCAAGGTAATGTGCTAAGCTGCCATCTGGTACGTTAGCAAGGCTTGTGGGATTGTTGTTGGAGCGTTGCTTTATCCCAAAAATTCCTGTAGCTCAAGAGGAGCATGTGAGATTAATACAGGGAACAACATCTTATCCCCATGAGTATATAGTATTGCTCTGCATGTTTCCCCCCTCTCTACATGAGCATTTGTTGTTTTTCAGTTGTTGCAGATGTGCTTTCAGAGTTTCTGGAAGTGGCTGTTCACCTTATCTTGTATGTCAGAGAAGTTTATCCTATTGGGATCTTTCAGAAGAGGAAAAAATACAACGTACCTGTCCAGGTAGGAGGCTTTCCTGGAAGCTGACAGCCACGTGGATGGACAAGCCAAATAGCAAGTATCAGGCAACACTCACCAGAACAGACAAAATCACTTCCACGTTTTGTTTTAATGTACAAACTCATTTTTGAAGAGAACTTAGTTCCTGTCAAAAGGAAGAACAGCTGAGGATAGAGCAGTACTTGTGGAGCAAGCACATCATGGGCAGCAGCAGGAGTAAAAGGCTTCCCCAGCTGTGTGCAGTAAGGCAGCATGGAAGCATGCTTCCTAGAAGTAGTGATGGTTGGAATATACTATTCCCAACATGCTACTGTGGGTATATATTCCCACTGTGCTACAGCTGTGTGGGTACAGTGATCTGCCTCAGCTAACTAACCTTCCATGAAAGAAGGTTATGGTTTGAATTGGCAACTTAGTGGTGAGAAAAGCTATTTGAAGCCTGACTCAGGGACTCAAGTGCTGTGTAACACACTGTTGGTGCTTCTGTTTAAACCTTCCCCGTTAGCATTGTCCTGGTTCACATCAGAGCCCAGCTCTGACTAGTCACTGTGTTTGCTACAGATGTCCTGCCACCCAGAGCTGAACCAGTACATCCAGGACACCCTGCACTGTGTAAAGCCCCTGCTCGAGAAGGTAAGATCATAATAGGGACCTGGGCAAAAGTACTGCCCGCGGTCGTGGTAGAAAGTAAGAGATATACCATTTTCACTGCAAAATTCACTTACGAATTTACCATATACAAGATACTAGCTGGTAAAGCTACTAACAACAAAAACATCCATCACCTTCCCTGGCAAGTTAAGGTCCTGCCTTGCTGCTGATCGTTGGCATTTAGTTGTGTCCGATACCTGCACATGAGGATACACATCTGTACATTTCCAGTTACATCATTCTATGTGTTAATGTGTTGCTTTTGAGTACATTTAAAGTTTAAGCACCTAGTTGGCAGAATAGTTTGAATGCTCTGCTGTAAGCCAGCAAGCAAAGGTAGGATTGAACTTTAGGCTTTGTTAAGAGCAAGGTGTGACCACACAAAACATTTCAGGATGTAGGATGCTGGCAGATCTTGCATTCTCTGCTTTCTACAGACACAATTAGAGGATGGAAGGAGTACAAACCTGCTGTATTTGGCCAACGGTCTAAACATATCTTAGCCTCTTCATCCTTGTCTGTTCCTGAGGGATGCAGTGAGGTGGCTCTACATTTCCTCCTTTGTTCAAAACAGTACCTAGAGAAATATACTATTTGGTGTATCTCATAGCATCACAGAATCAAGTAGGTTAGAAAAGACCTTTAAGATTAAGTCCAGCCTTTACCCTAGGACTGCCAAGTCCACCACTAAACCATATCCCTAGGCCTAAGTGATAAGCTATCATCAGTTTAACATCTAGCAAGTAATGGCTTTGCAAAAGCCTTTTTTCTCCTCAGTAAGAACAGTCTAGCAGTGCTGAAGCTCTGATAACTGCTAGTGCTGTGAGCCACAACAAATAAGCATACTCCTACTTTATCAGAAGCATGTGAAGCACAGCGGGGGCAGAAGACAGCTTGTTTTAAAGAAGAGCTTTTTCTATCTTTGTTCTTGCAGAACGATGTGGAGAAAGTTGTAGTTGTAATCCTGGATAAAGAGCACCACCCTGTGGAGAGATTCGTCTTTGAGATCACACAGCCACCTCTTCTTGCCATTAGGTAAAGCTCCCCTTGCTGCTTGCCCGGGGCATCCACACCGGCCTCTGCAGGGGTGGGCTGGAGGCAGCCCCAGGCCCCAGCACGTTGCTGCATGCCCGTAACAGCTGCTCTCTCCTCACCAGTTCAGAGTCCCTGCTCTCCCACGTGGAGCAGTTACTGCGTGCCTTCATCCTGAAGATCAGCGTGTGCGATGCTGTGCTTGACAACAACCCCCCAGGTGAACGTTCCCTACAGCCTGGCAGCACGGCCTTGCCTGGCTTGAGACAGTTGGTGGTGTCTGATCCTCTGTTAGTTGTCCCAACTGGAATCTTAACCTGTCTCTTGCAGGTTGCACCTTCACAGTTCTGGTTCACACACGGGAGGCTGCCACACGGAACATGGAGAAGATCCAGGTGATAAAGGTGAGCAGTGCCTTCAGCTGCTTGACTGTGAGCAAGCTGCAGAGCCAAGACTGGAAATGAGAGTTGGCATCTCTGAGGTTAAGGCCACTAGCTGTTATGAACATGTATGTTAGCTTCACGTGATGTACTTCACAGCTCTGCTTTGAATGAGTTAAAATGGTTTACAGGGCTGAGCAGAGTCACCAGCCACTACCACAGACAATAGCTGCTTCAGTGCCTGAATTAGATCAGAACAACACTTACTGTGAAATGCCTGCTCAGGCACTTACAACTACTGACGTACTGTACATTCAATCAACAAAGCGAGCCCTCATCCCACATCCAGTGTGTGTGGATGGCTGATTCCTCATAAACAGCAAGAAACACTAAAGATTCAAGTAACTAGTGGGGTTTGGGTGCACAAATACATTTTATCTTGCAGGAAAGTGCGTGCACTTCACTTCTTAAAGCAAAAATATATATATTTCTTTAAGAATCCTTGCTTAGGTACAGGAAAACTCTTTTCCCAACCTTATTTTGGGTGTCTGAAGGCACAATAGATAACGGTAACGAAGTGGTTTCAAAATGGAAGTCTGCTCTGTACTGCTCAGTAATGGAAACTGGTCATATCATAGTCCAGCGTGTAAACTTGCAAGGCAGGACAGAAATCCACGCCCTGAGCACCGCCGAGTTGCAGGGAAAAGCTGGTGCAGTGACTAGAACATGCTGGCTCAGGGCAGCCAAGTGTGTATCTTTTAGTGAGAGATCCCCTACGGAATAAGTTAACGTTATAGTTTGATCCTATAACTGAAGATAATTATGTCTGTCACAAAGTGAATGATTAGGGTCACTTAAAGAATGCTCAAAGGTAGCAAGAGTAGTTTTGATATGAATTTATAAACGTGCACCTTAACAGAATGCAAAGGAACATTGACTGTTACTCATTACATGGATGGAGCATACAAAGGAAAATAGAGGTAAAAATAAAGCTAAAGAATGATTGATGCAGAGACTGAAGGCACAAAGGGTGAGGGGAACCCCCCCACACCTTGAGTATTGAGGTTCAGAACCTCAATACAATACCCCCTCTTGCTTTCTGAACTGCTAGAGCCTAAGTGCAGCTAGGTCTAGTCTTAGTCTCAGACTTGGTCAACAGTTGGGATCTAGAGGCTGTCAGAAGAGTCAACATTTCACCACAGGTGCAATTTTTACAGGCTTTTACCTACCAGCAGTCTGCAGTTTTAAGGTGAGTCAATAGAATCTACTGCACTACAGTGTAATACACCACATAGTCATGTATACACCCAGACAGACACACAAACAGAGAGACATACAAAGGTACCTGTTAAAAACTCCCATCGAGTTCAGTGAAATGTTCACATCAAGTGTCTCAGAGGGCTGAGCCTCAAGGAACGGGGGGATGGGAGCCAGGTCCTGTCATCAGCGTCAGTGATGGTCCTCAGTTACCCCAGACCTGAGACTCTGTGAGCTCTGGGGGTGTCCCACTCAGAGGGAGATGCTGGTCACAGCCCGCTGCAGTCCAGGAGAGGTCAAAGGGCCTCACTTGGCATCACTGTTTATAGGGTCACTAGATGATGGGCTTTGGTCATTAGTAATTCCCATCCTGGCCACAACCGAGTCAGTAATTACTAGAAACATTTCAGAACTCCAGTACAATAGTACAAGGGGTGACTGATTATCCTTGCTCTTGCTTCTGTCCTTAACCATGTAGGAGTTCCTGGTGTGGTCAAGGGACTCTTCACCACCCAACTCACTACACAAAGGCCAAGGCCTGATGGGAACTCCTGAGGTTGTGGAGGAGATGCAGCACTGCAGTCTCAGGGCCAAGTGTGCGAGTGTTAATTTTGCTGACATGAAAGGTTTGAGTTACCTGTTTGTTTGCTCAACCACTGGATTTCTCATTCACTCAGTGCTGATCTAGTGCTGAGAAAGAGCCCTCACTTGGTGGAGCCTGCCACCATCTGCAAATAAAGCACCTTGTGTTCCTGCCCCTAGGATTTCCCCTGGATCCTCGCTGATGAACAGGACGTGCACATGCATGACCCCAGGCTTATTCCCCTGAAAACCATGACATCTGATATCCTAAAGGTGAGCAGAGCATTCTGACCCAGGAGGTGGCTGAAACTGCATGTGGGACCAAGCCTTGTCCACTGTAACGCCAGCTCTGCAGCTGTCTGTAGAGTAAGTTCTAACACTGCTGAGCAGTAGTTCAGTCTGGCAGATGCCTGTGCCAGTAATCAAAACAGGGCAAGACTCCTCATGATAAAATAAACCTGGTTACGGGGAAAGGAACAAACTCTTCCTGTTTAGCCTGTTGCAGACATTTTTCCCCCCACTCACCTACCTGCACATCAAATGATCTGGTGCTTGTTTCTCTCCTCCAGATGCAGCTCTATGTAGAAGAGCGAGCCCACAAAGGCACCTGATCACCAGTGTTCCTTGCCTTCAAGCCTCATCTGATCTAGTGGATTAAGATATCTCACAAACCATACCTTGCTAACTGTCTCTTCAGCTGGCCTTCTGGGTGAATGTAGAGCAGCTGCTGCCTCTCTATTTCAAGTGCTCTTACCACTGTATATAGAACTGACTTGGAATGTGGAGCCAGAGCCTGTTCCCATGTACACTCATGTGTGAGTACAGGTTTTGTTACAGTGAATCCCTGGGGGCAGGACCTAGGTGACTGCAGTGTGCAGTCAGGGCTTTGTACAGCTCCAGTTCTCACCTCAATAGGGCATCTCCATTGCACATCGATCCACTACAGCAACGGGCTCATGTCAAGGGTGAGTGAGGCCTTATGTAGCATCTGTCCACTGTGACTGTCCCAAGTAGTCCTCAATAAATAGTAAATTTTACCTGAGTTCTGTCCAAACCAGCCTCCCCCTGTAAGCAAGTATTTTTATTCTGTATGGAGCTTTTTATTTTATGTGGGGGTTTTCCATCTCTCTTCTGGAATGTATGTGGAATCTGTCAGTTCCCATGAGGAGGTTATACTACCTTGGTCTCTCCCCTTTCTATGGGAGAGCTTTCAGCCACAAGGGGCATTAGCAAGGAGGAATGTGTCTGTCCAGCAAGGACACCTGCCAGATACCCTAAATAGAGGACAAGGGGAGCACTGTTAATCCTACACTTGTCAAAGGAGGGGGAAGAAGGCCTTAGCATTGGCTCTGTGCAGACAGGGGTAGAAGACTTGGTTCATAGTATTTGAGTTGAGGTTGTTGGTCAGACAATTTGATAACACAGCCAGTGCAGAACCTCCCTGCTCCCTCCAAGTAAAAAGTGCAAGAATACTCTAGAGCAAGGTCTTGTGCTGCTTTAACACTTTATATAGGGTCAGACCGTTCAGTACAAACCAAGTACTTTGGTCGTACAAAGGTAGTATGGAAAAAGCCCAGCACAATCAAAAGGCACTTCTGTTGTAAGGGAGCCACCTTAAGGGATTTCTTATCTCCTCTTTCTCTAGTGGTTTATTCAAACAGCAATGGACTGGTTTTGGACAGGGAAGGCATGTCCCATTTTGATCTTCTACACTTAAAGAAACAGTAAGGAATTAAGTACCAGTGACACAGCATTTATGAAAAAGGGTTGACAGTTTCCTTATGCTATGAAAGGGCTGATGTGAAAGATACATGTTTTTATACACAATAAAACTGAAACAGGAAAATACCATACAAAACCAGATGTCTCTGTAGCAAAGCCCTTGAGGACAGCATCGATAACCGGCATGAAACATTTTAGCCTTATCTTTTGTAAGTTCCATAAACAAACAAGAAAGGGTTTCTGTATAAGACTTAAGGTTTGGCTGCAGCACAAGGACATATTAACTAGACAAACAGATGTCATTTCATTGTCCTAGTCTTCCTCCTGTAGAAGGGCACTAGTAATTGCAGTAACATCCATGGTGCAGGAGGAGGGAGATGAGGACAGAAGTCCTTCCCAGAGGGCCAGGCCTGTAGAAGTTCTGCTGTAAGGAGAACTAGCTGCCTGTGTTTGAGATCAGCTGTGCAAGACAAAGCCAGGACACTCACCCAGAGAGTACAGACAAATAAGTGCACCTGAGACCACCTGGTTACAGTCTTGAGGTAAAAGCAAACACATACTGTGCCTTCATAACATTGTCAGGGGCCCAATGGTGATGCTGGAGTTGGTCACTCGGATCCCATACCATCCTGCCCAGAACTGGGTGTCTTGGCCTCCATGCTGGAACCAGATGTAACGAACTCCAGGTGGGTAATTCTGGAAGGTGTGAGAAATCTGGAGAGAAAGAAGAAAAATCCTTCTTAATTTGTCTAAATAAACTAACACTCACCGAGAAGGTCGGACCACTACAGCGAGTCTTGGTCTCAGAAAAAGCTCATGCCCATTGAAAGTGCGTCATTCCCCTTCTTGAGGGACAGGAAAAAAAAGCCTCTTACTCAGCCTCTACCCTATGTCAAACATAGTATTAAGCTTGATTCTTAGATCGTTAGGTAAGAACCTAATGGGGAATCTACAGCCAAACAAACCAGTTAAACACGTTTAGCAGTTTAAGGAAAGTAGCACCTGCAATACTTTAAATGACATCCATGTAGCAGTTTTAAAACAAAGCTTTGTGATCTAATAGAAACAGGAGCTGTGCTCTTGTAACTTAGGCAAAAAGTTTAAGTGAAAAACCAGAAACAATTAAATAGACTGAGCTAAAACAACAGAGGAGCCCAGGGCTACTCTTTAGGAAACCCTGGGCACCTACAAACCAAGCCGAGCTCTTTCATGGTACTGCTGCTTCTTCAGCATTGGTAACAGCAACTACTCACCTTTTGCATTGAGTAGAGGAGGCTGAAGAGCACAGAAGGAAGATCCACATGGGCCTCTGGCTAAGACAGACTTGCAAGATTCAAGTGTCACAATACTGGTATAAAGCCACTGGGCTGTGCTTACCTCTCTCCACGCAGCATCATTCCACTGCTCTATAACCACTGGCTCGGGGCGGAACTCCTCAAGGACAATGTAGTCTTCAGAAAGCAGCCTCACTATCAGCTCGTAGCGACACCCACAGTCAAATCTGGCAGCATACCTAGAGAGGCAGGGAGTAATCAGGGAGCGGGGTTGGATATACAGTGTTGTTTCCTGGAGTGTTCAAGAACAGTCTCCAAAGGGGATCCCCATCTGTAGAGGAAAAGGAATGTCATCCCTGTAGCTATGAAGTTCTAATACTTCCAGCTATC